ATCCACTCAATGGCAGTGGCTCTGTTTTTGTTGTGTATATATCTTTAGCCCTCCCCCCTCCCCCCCCCCACTGGAATATGAACACGTTGTGGGCGAGGTCTCTGCATGCACACCTCTGTGAGGGCAGATGTTTGATGGCATCAAGGAGAGAGATGAAGGTTTTCAAACTCAAAACTTTAATCAGTCGAGAGAAGGAACATGCACACATGGAGGGTGGGTCCGCACTGGCCCACCACGACGGAGGTAACAAGTTACAAATGGTGGTCTAGGTGGTTGCACACAGGGTTCCAACCCCTCTTTGGCATCAACACTCAATGGGCACACCTGTTGACATGTGCCTGCCGCTGGCCTCCTCCACAACACTTGGTGTACACCTTGACCCTCGTGTGCAGCATGTCTGCCACACTGGGCAGACAGGGTTCTGGAGGGCAGGGGCGGGGCAGGGCATGTGCTGGGGACTGAGAGGATCAGCTGTCTCTAGTGCAGTGTGGGTCCTACGGTTAGTTAGCAGGTTCCCAAAGAGCTTAAACAACAGTGCAGCCAACCAGCAGAACATAAAGTGCAAGGTTTGAGCTTTACATACATCTCCGAACTTCTTTAAGCACCAAAAACAAACAGAGATTCCAAGTTACCAGCGTCCAACGTCTTCATGAAACTACTGTGCTTCAGTCAACCCTGTGGGCGCCATCAAGGGAGTTGACGCTCCCGTTTCAATGAGTGAGTCTCAGCTGAGGGGCCAGGGTTCAAGGGTTCTAAGAGGGCGGGCTGTTTTCTCACCAGACTCTCTGGCAATCCGCCGGTGGCCAGGCTTTGCTAGATGACACCAGTGACTGGCATTGTGGATGTCGACCACCAACCAACAGTGCTCCTCTGTCAACTGGAGGCCGTTCCTTACCCTATCTGAATCCCGGAAGCTTCAGGGCAAAGGCAGGGCTTATCATGTTATTATTCACCCATCGGACTTCACAACGCACCCAGCGAGGGTGGCCGGCTTGGGTGTTTGGCGAGCAGTCAGCATCTTGGTGAACACTTTTTCCCACTTCCGTAGCTATAGGTGGTTACCCACGTGGTAATACCCAATGCAGCCTTTGAGCTGGCTGGTGTTTTTAGGATTAAGTGCCATGCTAAACTGGACCTCATCTAACCAATTTCGTTATGAACTGGGGAGGAGGGTTAATGGGATGAGGTGGTATATAAGGAAGAGGGGCCCTTTCCCAGTGAGAACTCTGGAAGGTTAGACGTGGAAAGTTTTAGCCACCTGAGGTTAGGCAGGAAGAATTTATGTGCTCTTCTTGGCTTTCTGTGGGTTGGCAAAAACATTTTCTAAATGTATGACAAAACAGAGATGGAGGAAAACGATCAGAAATGAAGAGCGCTAGGTTTTGGGGAACCAAATGAAGCAGAGGGTAAATTCTGGAGAAAAACTTAATTAACAGCTATGCATGGCATTCATTAGGAAAATTAAGTGTGGGGGACAGAGAGATGGAAGGTTCCCAATGATTTCCTTCCTTTTGTTCTAACATACACTCACAGCTCACACTTGGGGAGTACTTAAGAGTGCTGGGCATTCCTTCTAAATGCTTTCTATGTATCAATGTACGTAATCCTGACAACTGCCCTGAGGTAGGTAACTTTGATCATTCCCATTTTACAGATGAGGACACTGAGGCCCTGAGAGGCTCCACGTTTCCAAGGTCACTTTGGCAGTAGAGGACAAAGCAGGATTAACTCAGGCAGGCTGGCTCCAGAGTCTACCATTAAATCCCAATACTGTATTGCTTCTTACTGTGTTTTTACATTGTTTTAATGCAACTCATACGTGCAAATTTTACTAGGTTTGGACAAATTGATTTATTTTGGAGTGTGGAGCTTGGCAATGTGGCGATTCCAATGCTGGGCCTCAGATAAGCATTTATTGAGAGTCTGTTGCTCTGCTGCCACATAGTGGCCATGGGAAACGTGGCTAGATTCTACTTGTTTCGGGTGTGAACCTGCTGGTGTCGAGTGAAGCCGGAGTGGCTTCTGAAGGCTTTCTGACAGTGCTGACACTGGTAAAGCCTCTGTTGGGTGTGAACCCTGTAGTGCTGACTAAGGTGCGCACTGAGGCCAAAGGCTTTACCACACACATTACAGGAATAAGGCTTCTCTCCAGTGTGAATTCTCTTGTGCTGAGTCAGATTTGCCTTCTGGGCAAAGGCTTTCCCGCACTCGGCACAGGCATAGGGCTTCTCTCCAGTGTGAATTCTCAGGTGAATAGAAAGGCAGGAGTTCTGGCTGAAGGCCTTCCCACACTCCTTACATGAGTAGGGCTTTTCCCCTGTGTGAATCCTCTGGTGGCGGATGAGTTGAGCGGCCAGGCTGAAGGCTTTCCCACAGTCGCTGCATTCATGGGGCTTCTCACCTGTGTGAACTCGCTGATGTTTAGAAAGGGATGAGCTTTGACGGAACGTCTTGCCGCACTCCTTACACTCATAGGGCTTCTTTCTAGCATGGATTCGCTGATGCTGAATGAGGTAATTGATCTGAGTGAAGCCTTTGTCACACTTGTTACATTTAAAGGGCTTCTCAGTGTGGACTAACTGGTGTTCCAAAAGGCTCTTCCTTCCGCTGAAGGTCTCCCCACAGTTGTTGCACTGAAGCGGGTCCTCGCCGGTATGGGTGGCCTGATGCTCAGAAAGGGAGGGCCTGCAACTAAAAGACCTCCCGCATTCGCCACAGTCATAGGGTTTTGCTTTAGAATGAGTCCTCTGATGGCGGGTAAGCTGGGTACTTTGGCTGAAAGCTTTCCCACACTGGCTGCACTCAAAGGGCGTTGGTCTGGTGTGGATTTTCTCGTGCTGCTTTAGGTATCTGCTGCGGCTGAAAGACTTCTCACATCTGCTACACGTGTAGAGCTTCTCGACAATCCCTACGTGCTCGTTAGCTTGTGAGTCCCTACTTAAGATCGTCCCTTTCTCATCCGCGACTTGTTTGTCTCTGGCGTGAGCACTCTGGTGGCAGCTCAAGGTGGTGCTACACGTGAAGCGTTCTCCGCATTCCTGACACTCGTAGGGGGTCTCTACAGTATGGATACTCTGGTGCTGAAGGAGTTGCTTGTGGTGGCTGAATGTCTTCTGGCAGTGTGTGCAGCGGTGGGGCTTACCTGTGGTGTGAGTCGACCGATGTCGGACCAGGTGTGAAGGCCGGTTGAAACTCATGGCACACTCAGGACATTTGTGGGGCCGATTCCCTGTATGCGTTCTCTTGTGCTCACTCAGATGGGTGCTCCGGCCAAATGCTCTCCCACACTCACTGCATTTGTAAGGTTTCTCCCCACTGTGGATCCTCTGATGGATCTTTAGGGTTGAGGTATGGCTGTAGAATTTCCCACACTCACTGCACTTGTGAGGCTTCTCTCCAGTGTGGACAGCCTGGTGTTGGAGGAGTGAGGCGTTACACCTGAAGGTTCTCCCACATTCCTGACATGCAGAGGTAGCTTTTGCAGCATGGGTCTTCCGATGCTGGACAAGCTGTTTATTCAGAGTGAAAGTCACTTTGCACTGGGCACACTCATAGTGTTTCCGAGTATGAACCTGCTTATGTCGAGAGAGGTGGAAGGCTCGGCGGAAAGTCTTGCTGCACTCGGTGCATTTGTAGGCCCTGCCGGCTGGTTGAGCTTTCTCATCCAGAACAGGCCGTGAACTCTGACTGAATGCATGGTCATGGTCTTGACCCTTGCCCGCTCTCTCCCCAGTGTGAATGTTCTGGTGCCACAGGAGGTGGGTATGCTGTTGAAAAGCTTTCCCACACAAGTTGCACGTGTAGGACTTGTGGTTTGACTCAGTCACCTGCTGCCCTAAAAGGCAAGGGCTCTGGCTGGCACCTTTCTCGTCCTCCTGACAAACAGTGGCAGGTCTCTCTCCCGTGTGGATAACCCAGTGCTGGATAAGGTGGTAACTCCGAGTGAAGGCTTCCCCGCATTCGCTGCATTTATATGGTGTCTCAGCGCCCAGGGCTGTAGCGCCCAGTGGGGTCTGTTCTGAGGAGCAGTCGTTGCCGTTCTGGGGTTCTTGAGGCTTCCCTGATGGGGGACTCTCTTCAGGGAGCTCATACACCATGGGGCCCTCTTCTGGAAGGAGGACGGGCTGAGGACTAACGCCTCTCTTGAGCTCAGGGCTACTGCATGTTGTAGGACTTCCCTTGCTGGTGACAAAGTCAGACCTCAAAAGACTCTCCGAATGGTCTCCTAGCAGGTTATCTAACCAGCTGTCACCAATGCAGGCTTCTCCCAAATTGGAGTACCAGAGCGCATCCTTCGAAAAGGTCTCTATTATCTCCTGAGAGAGTCCTTCTTCCAAGAAGTCCTGCTTAAAAGGAGAGTACATGGGCTCAGCTGGGTCTGAAAGAGAGGGAAAGTGCAAATGTTTCCTGTTCCCAAGGCAGAGAGACAGGAACTGTTAGGTGGGAATGTGGACAAGAATAAGTAGGGGTCCTGAGTCAATCACTCATTAAGGGGATAAGTGCAAAGTGGCCAGAGGTGTTGAACAGACGGACACCAGAGAAAGCAAAGATCACATTCCCGAGGGGCATACAGGGATGCTGGGAAGCTGCAGTGTTTTAGGTGGAAAGTAGCTCCTCTCAGTGAACACTGCCCATTACCCACATCCCTATATCACTAAACAAGCATCCAGAAAGTACCTGGGATTTGTCTCCTGCCTCTCCTTCATCCTTCCCCGCGCTTCACCACTCCCAAAATCTTACTCTTCATTTTGGGTTCTCTATGCTGCTGCAGCCATCCACCCAATCTCCCAAGCCAGAATCCTAGGAATCAATCTCCACTTCCTCAATTCCCTCAACATAAGCACCACTTCCTGTGAGATCTATTTCAAATTTCCTCAGCCCCTTCTCTTTCATCAACTCCAATTTGCCCCTAGCTTCTCCCAGTCTCCAGCCTCTCTTGCAAGTCCATCATGATCATCCCCAAGGGAATTTTTATAAAAAAAAATTTGTCCAAGTAAAAAGAAGAAAAATTTAAAAAAAAGAAGAAGAAAAATATAAACATAAATTAACCCAGCATTCTTTGTGACAGCCCACAGAACTCTTACAGAATGTGACATAGTCTTACCTATTTAGATGTTCTTCTTAATGCTTAGCTTGGGTATCACCTGTCTTTGAGAACTTTCTTTGATACTCTAGTATGGATTGAATTATGTCTTCCCAGTACATGTTGCAAATCTAACATTTAAAGCTGATGGTGCCCAGCTATCCAAAGATATAGCATCTGGGGTCTTAAAGGCTTGAAGATAAACAAGCGGCCATCTAACTCAGAAGCAACAAAGCCCACATGGAAGAAGCACACCAGCCTGTGTGATCATGAGGTGTCAAAGGGATCAGGTATCAGAGATCAAAGAACCAAAAATCATATCATTGTAAATGAGGGTGAGTGCAGAGTGGAGACCCAAAGCCCATCTGTAGGCAGCTGGACACCCCCTTACAGAAGGGTTTCAGGGAAGAGATGAGCCAGTCAGGGTGCAGGGGAGCAACAATGAAACATACAACTTTCCTCTAGTTCTTAAATGTTTCCTCCCCCCACTGTCATGATCCCAATTCTACCTTACAAATCTGGCTAGACCTGAGGATATACACTGGTACAGATAGGAACTGGAAACACAGGGAATCCAGGGTGAATGATCCCTTCAGGACTAGTGGTGAGGGTGGCGATACCTGGAGGGTGGAGGGAAGGTGGGGTAGAAAGGGGGAACTGATTACAAGGATCTACATATAACTTCCTCTCTGGGGGATGGACAACAGAAAAGTGGGTGAAGGGAGACATCGGACAGTGTAAAATATGACAAAATAATAATTTATAAATTATCAAGGGTTCAGGAGGGAGGGGAAAAATGAGGAGCTGATACCAAGGGCTCAAGTAGAAAGCAAATGTTTTGAGGATGATGATGGCAACATATGTACAAGTGTGCTTGACACAATGGATGGATGGATAGCTTGAGATAAGAATTGTATAAGCCCCCAATAAAATGATTTTTTTTTAAAAAGAAAATCTAACACCTGTCCCTATAAATATGATTCTATTTAAAAATAAATACTTTCTCTGCAATGTTAATGAAGCCAATATAGGAGAGGTCCTAAACCTAGTGTAAGCTAGAAACACAAACACACACCCACACACAGAGAATAAATACACAAATACACACAGGGGACAAGGATGAGGCAGACAGATGATAGAGACATCTACAAGCCCACAAAGGTTAAGAATCATAGGTAGCTACAAGTCACTGTATGGCTAAGAGCTCAACTACTGCATGAAGGACGGGCAGTTTAAATCTACCCATCGGCCTCTGAAAGGTCACAACCGTGAAACCGTGATGGAACAATGTTACTCTTGTACTTAGGATCACCATGAGTTGTAAATGACTCACAGTTAACACTAGAAGCTGAAAGATAAAAGAGTACTACCCCTCCATCCCTACCTAGAGTCAAAGCTCCCTGTTTGTGGCATTTGATACAGCAGCACTAGGTGACTAAGGCCCTTGCTTCCATATCCTATTCTGCTTTAATCAGCTTCCCCTGTCTTCTTGCAACTACAGCCTAGCACTTGCCACCCACAACTGTAATTATGTCCTAGTGATTCGGTCCCTAGGCCAGATGGTGAGCTGATTGGTGGGGCCATCCACTGTTCCTCTGTGCATCCTTAGAACGCTCCAGGGCTGCCATGCAGGAGGCCACAGGAAACACCTGCTCACTCGGAGGGGCCCTCCTGGCATACCCTCAAGGACACCTCACAACCACCCTGGAAGTGGGCCCTGTGATCCCCTGCTGGAGCTCAGACCAAGGGGCTCTCCGAACCCCCAAGTGATGCCTCAGTTACCTAGAGCTGCCGGAACAGAAAAACCACAGTGGGACACTGACACAAGCAGAGGCCAGAAATCGGAATTCAGGGTGCCACCTCCAAAGGAAGCCTTACTTTCTCCATCACTGGGAGAGTGCCGCCTTGTCTCTTCAGCATTAAGTCCCTGTCTCCATTCAGCCCTGGCTCCCTGGAGATCTTCTTATGTTCTGGCGTCTACCTTCCTCGGTCTCTGCTCCTTCGTACCCCAAGAGACCGACTACAGAAACATCCTACACGAATACTGCCTCATCAACATACCGACTGGGACTCATTCCCAAATGGAATAACTAGAGATCTGCATGTATTTTTTTGGACAGGGGGGCACAAGTCAATTCCTAACACCACAATACGCTCGGGAGCTCGTTCAACACAGGAAGTTCCTCCACTCCCTCCTGCACCGTCCTTGCCCGTTTCCAGGCCTGTTCCTGTCTCCTGTCATTTGCCGGCTCACCATCTTTTTGGTGTCTCGGAGTCTGCCCAATGCGTCTCGGTCTGCAGTTTGAGATGAGCCGAGTGAAACCTTCCAAAAGCAGCTAGAACACCTGGCTCCTACTCCCCACCAGGAGGGCCCTACCTGCAACACATCTAACACGTCAGGCACCCTTGTGTGGAGCCAAACGAGGAGCCCCAGGCTGGAGACAGGAGGGTGGCACAGCTCAGGTCTAGTTCCTTCAGAAGCTCACGGCTAAAGGTGGAAGGAAATGGACTGACGGTGCAACTGCTACGAAAGGCAAAGCAAGGATATGGGATCACGTCTACAGAAGGTGTCTCATCGCTGGGTCCCTCTGCTACTGACCGGAAGGTTGATGCTCCAGCCTGGAAGCAAGGTGTCCTAGAAACCAGCCGTTCAAGGTTTTTATGGGCACAGTTCTACTCTGACGGGGGCATCGACCTGACGGTGACTGATGAAAGGTATGGCTACATGCCCTTGGACACGTCCCGGAAATGGAGCTGGCAGAAACAGTGACTGGAGGAGGCAGTGGGTGGGAGTGTGTGGGGGGGTCCGTGCTTAGACTAGGAAACTATTCATAAAGCCCTGTGTGATGAAGAGGAAGCTGCAGGACAGTCCTGAGAGGTGAGCAGTCACCTGCAGAGGTGGGCCAGGTGGGGTGGAAGGCTAAGACCCCACTATGGGGGCACTCCGTCTGCCATCTCCGGTACCAGGCCTCTCCTCCTCTCAGCGGCACTGCGGTGAGAGTCGGTGCTCGGTGCTCGATCTCTGCTTTCTCTCAAGGCCAGAGACAAGCCCCTAGAAGCCCTCACAAGCTAAGCCACCCTCCCTGAGGGAGCCCTAGGCCTGGGGATGGCAGGAGGGGTGCTCCTGCTGGCATTTCTGCCTGGGCTCAAGTTCCTTGCAAGTGAAGCTGTGTGCTGTGCCCTTTGGAGCCAGAAAGAAGGGCTGACCCGAACAACCCAAACCCATCACACCCAGCGCCACTGCCTCCATCCCAACACTCGGCTTCCCTGCAGGGCAGACAACTGCCTGCTGGGGCTTTCCACGGCTGTCAATCTGCACAGACGCGGCAGCCTTCTCCCACGGGCGGCCAGGGGGTTGGCCCCAACCTTGGGGGCTGCAGCCAACAGCTGTAACCACTGTGCCTCTACAGCTTGCTGGCCTGTCCAGAGAGGGCTCCACAGTGCTCGAGTCGGGGGGGGTGAGGGGGGGTTCCTATTCCTGAAAGCGCCCACAGTCCTGTGCTAAAGCCTGAGGGACAGACATGGAGGAAGATGGGAGGGAGGGACCACCCCGCTCAGGAATCCCATCCCCACCCCAGGACGAGGGGCTGGGAGCCAGCGGTGGCGGAATGACAGCAAGGAGCGGCTTGGTGAGACGGATGTCTGGGTAGATTTGCTGGAGGCTGGAGAGCGTGACAAGGACGTCTCCGTGACCCTGCCGCCCTCCACCTCATCTGTGCCCCGCGTGCACACACACACACACACACACACACACACACACACACACCCCGGTCTGCTGCCTCAGGGCTTCCACTCCCCAGGGCTTCCAGCTCTTCCCTGCCATCTGGGTGGGAGGTGAGGTTGGATTTTTGGGGGTCTGCAGGGAGAAGACAGCAGCGTTATTCCACCGGGGGACTGGTGAGTCATACGGAAGCCCACTGAGAGCCTCCTGTGAGCCAGAGCTCGGGCCGGCGGTCAGTCAACTCTGCCCTGCTTGAAGACCCAAGCCCGACCTTCAAGACCCAGGGGGATAAGAACTGTCACCGCTAGGGTTAGGGGCACGTGGACTAGAGCTGGCTCTCTGCCCACCTAAGTGTATGTACCCTGAGGGCCAGGCCTATGAAGAAGGAAACAAGTCTAGTGAAGAAATCCAGTCTAGTGAAGAAATCCAGTCTAGTGAAGAAATCCAGCCAGGAGCAGGCAGGGGAGAGAACTTCTCAACAGAGCCTTGAAACAGATACAAGCCCAGTTGGACACGGGGGGCAGCGAATCAGCTTCTAGGGATCATTTGCTAATTTCATGAGTTTGAACTTAGCCCAACAGCAGGGAGGATCGTTCTAGGCACTGGGAAGACACCAGCGAGCAACATAGGCAAGAAATTCCTGGCCTCACAGAGCCAGAGTTCTGTCCTCTGGAAACAGGTGATTAGAAATCGATGGAGCTGTGGAGCAGGGCATGCAGGAAAAGGGAGGGAGGGAGGGAGCGCTGCAGGGCCCCTGGGGTGTCTGAAATGAGGGGGGGGGTCCCAGCCTTATTGGGGAAGAGGGGAGGGGCTGAATCGTCCGAGGGAGGACTCAATGGGTCATTATGAGGCTGAAGAGGGGACAGGGGATAGATCTGGCTTCCCAATCTCATCATCACTGGTGGTGGCACTTGGGTGGGTCTCTGTGGGGAGGAGGACGGGCACTGGTAGATGTTGAGCAGCATTCTTGCCTGGATGTCGGTAGCACTCCACCCACCCAAGTGGGGACAACTGTCTCTGTCCCCAGCCTGGTCACAGTCCCCCGGGAGTAGAGCAGAATCACCCAGGCTGACGCTGAGCTGTCCATTAAGCCTGGCTGTGGCAGGGGACAAGGACGAGCACCCAGCAAGATTGAGCCTGGGTCTCCCGTGTGGGGGGGTAGGTAGGGGGACACACATGACACTCACTCAGTAGGAAGAGGCTCTGGTAGTTGTCTAGTGCCGTGTCCCAGAAGAGGTCCCCCTGGTCCAGCCCCTGCTGTTCCCAATCTTCCAAGGTGAAGTCCATGGCTACGTCCTGGAGGGTCACCAATTCCTAAAAATCGACAGCAGACTCTCAGTGACTCAGGGTTGGGGTGGGACAGAAACAACCCAGTTTCTACACAGCTTCCTCCCATGGTGACCCTGTGAGCGTCCTTCCTTCCAGGATACAACCAACGGCCTGCTGCCACGGAGTCACAGCGACCCCAGAGGACAGAGCAGAAGTGCCCACAGGGCTGTCAAAGCTGCTAGTCTTCACGGGGGCAGACTGCCTCACCTTTCTCCCACAGAATGACTGGTGGGTTTTGAACTGTCAACCCTGTGGTTAGTAGGCCTCAAAATTCTCAATACGGATCCACGGGGGCCTTCCTTATGGGATAGCGTGGCTTGCTGAGGAGAAACTTCTGGAGGTAGATTGAAGAGTGAGCAAGAAGGGGCAGAAGAGACGAAAAGAGCTAGGCCAGGAAGTGCGCACGCTGGTGGCGGAACTGTGATGCTGGAAAAGCTAGCTCAAGACGACGGAGCCCCTGGTGGCTTCATGGTTATGGGCTGACTGCTCACAGAAAGGCTGACTGTTCGGGCCCACAACAGCTGTGTTGCGGGCGCGCTTGCCAAGATCACAACCAGGAAACGCCTCTGTCACTTGTGCCCACTGTCAAGTCGAAACCCACTCGATAAAAACGCTTTCAACCAAAAACGAGCCTGAGGAAAGTAGCCAGTTCAAGTCCCTCCAAAAGCAGTACACACACACACACACAAACACACACACCCCACCTGGCACTCACATTAAAAACACACCAGAAGGACGTATCTGGAAATCAAATCTGGAAACTAGAGATCAAACTGAGTTACAAAGCATTAAGAAAGGGCGGATATAAATTATGTACGTCCGTAAAACCGTTACAATAATGGACAGGTAAAACTCGGCAGCATCTTGAACGGTTAGATGAGAACCTCAGGTGGTGAGGTGTCTCTGACGAGGAGAGATGGCTGCCACACCGGGAAACTGGGAAACTGCAATGGGTGAGACACCGGGCAATGTCTGACCTGGTGCGAGTTCTGCCGTGTCTATGCTCCACAGCAACAGAAATAAGTTACTTTTTTAAAAAGGTGAAGGGACCTTCAACTCACCTCTGTCACGAGCGATGGGGGCCTGGTGCCTGCAGTCCCATTTTAAGCTCCTCTTCCTTCCCCACCATATTTCCGACTGGCAGGGCTGCAGGGATAAGGGAGCGGTGAGCAAGCCTCCCTTCTTCCTATGGGTAACTCCCTGTCCATGTTGGATGAGACCCTGAAATGGCCAAACGTTCAAATCCCAAGGTGAACCTTCTTGCAGGATCGAAAAGACACCTGGGTCTCTCGAAGCACCCGGGCCCACGTTGTCATTGTGTTCCAGAGTCCACCAACTCCCTTCCGGGCCTCTGTGCTTCACCAGCATGCTAGTGCAGGCTTCAGCACTTTGGTGACTGAGGTCTGCTGTCTCTGTTTTGGACCTTCTTGGCCTGCTCACAGCTGGCTCTTAGCACCAGCACCAGGCAGGGCCCGTGGTTAAAAACATACACAAAACAAACTCACTCACAGCTAGTCAATGCTGACTCACTGTGAACCTACAAGACACGGTTGAACTGCCCGTGTTTCTGAGACGGTCATGCTCTCCTATGGGAGTAGGCAGCCGGTCCCTCTCCAGGACCCACTGAGATGTGATCCATTAGTACGGTCCTTCTCGCCATCGTTCCTATGAGGTGTGTTACGACCTGGCCTCTATGCCTGTGGCTATGATCCTGATCTGGAGGGAGTTCTGTGCTTCCATACTGGACACGATTAAGGTGGGGTTAACTCTTGACCTTAGTAGAGAATGTGAACAAACTCACCCCCTCTACTTGGGGTGATCTTTAGATTCTACCACAAGGTGACTCTATCTTCCACTTTCCTGCGGTGTATGGGCTGCTAGACAAAAACCACACCTGGATCAGAGCCTGTGGTAGTTACACAATCGTTTGTCAATTTGAGAGGATTAAGAGTGACAGGTGGAGTCTAGCCTATCAATCAGATAATACCCAATGAGGCCTCTGTGTGGGCATGGACGTCCAAGGATTCTGGGAACTCCTTGGAGGCAGGAGGCACTCTCTCGCTCTGCTCACTCCTTGGGAGACATGGCAGCTGACAAGACACATGGAACTAGTGCCCTGAGCTGGAGGAGCCACGTGGAGACCCCTGCCAGTGTTGAGATGCTTGTAATGCCACTGGATCCACAAGATCCACCCACTGGCCTGTGATCATCCTGCATTCGGCGTCATTGCATGTGTTTCGTGAGCATGAAGAGGAATTTATAGATTGGTATCGGACATATGAGCTAATGTCTACTACAGGTCTCTCTCTCTTTTGAATCATGACCCACAGGAATGAAGACAGCCTATATGGTAATCACTCAGACACAGAGAGAGGCCCTGGTGATGCGGTAGGGTATTCATGTGGGTGGCTAACCAGCCACCAGCCACTCCACCGGGAAAAGATGACATTCTCCGCTCCCGTGAAGATTGAGTTTCAGGAAGCCGCAGGGGCCGGGCTGCTCTGTCCAGGGGGAGTTTGGGTTTTCTTTTTTGGTCCAACACATCCTTAAAACAAAGGCTTAAAAAAAAAAAAAGGGCCCCCAGAAACAGCACGCCCTCTTACAACCGTGCCCCTGTGGGGGGCTCAAAGCACGGACCCCCAGCTGGGTCCACTGCCTCAAAACCAACAGGCAACCCCTTCCATTCAAACTCACTGCCCTGTGGATTCCGACTCACGGTGGCCCGAAGGACAGCGAATGACCCGGCCAACAAGCGGCCACTCTGCCGCTTCTGAGGCAGGCCAGGTGTGGCAGGCAATCAGGGCCTTGCAGACTGGTTTTTGTGTCCCCACTTAAATCCTGTGCGGGGTGGGGCAGGCGCAGGCAGCATTTCAAAACTGGGCATTTTAGTGATGCTCGGATGAAGTGTTCCAAGATTCCCACAAATAAATGAGCGGAGCACACTGCTGTCGGGCCCATTCCGGCTCACAGTGACCCTACAGGACAGAGAAGCACTGCCCCTGCGGGTTTTCGAGGCTGTCACTCTCTATGGGGGCGGAAAGCCTCATCTTTCTCCCCACCGAGGACGGCTGGTCACTTTGAACGACGGACCTTGCTTTAACAGTCCAACGCGTCACCCGCTACGTACCGGGACCCTTGTAAACATTCACATTAGGCGACAATGAAAAGTCACATATACCTCACAGCACTTCACGTCAGGTTTAGAGGTCAAAGTTAGGAGCGAAGGAACTGTGGGTGGGGGTGGGGGGCTCACTCAGTTTTCAGAGCTTTCTGAATTTTGTGCTTACAGATATGGGAATGGAGGAGAACTGTAATAGCATTAACTTTTATTGAACAATGTGTTCATTCATGAGAGAGATGATAAGTCACAACTTCTCAGAATAATTCGGCCCACAAAAAAACAAAAACAAAAACCACTCAAACACAAAACCAGGTGCCGTAGGGTTGACGCCACATCATGGCGACCCTGGGTCAAGAATAGAACTGTGCTCCACAAGGATTTCAATACCTGTGCTCTTTTAGAAGGAGCCCTGGTTGGTGTAGTGGGTTAGGCAATGAGCTTCAACTCGCGTGGTCAGCGGTTCACACCCACCAGTCCCTATAATGGAGAAAGATGAGGCTGTCTGCTCCTGTAAAGGTTTAAAATCTCAGAAACCACAGGGGTAGTTCTAGCCTATCTTCCAGGGTTGCTGTGAGTCAGAATCAACCCAAAGGCCTTGGGTATTTGTTGTTTTAGATAGCTCTCAGGAGATCACCAGATCTTGCCCACCCTACCGTCCAGTTGACTCAGTAAATTCAAAGTCCTTAGCTTTTCAGTTAATCCCCCCTCCTGCCCGGTTAGGTTTTAAATGCTAAACCATCTATCCTACCCAGGGACTCAGATGTGGCTCAACCAGTATTGACTGATTAGAATGCTTTGGCAGAAAGTTCTTTTTCGGCAACCCCCAGACTTGAACATAAGAAAGATTTCACCTAAAGTCCAATTTCCAAGTTGTTTGGGGTTTGTCTGTTTGTTTGTTTAATCCTGGGGTTTGGCAACACAGAACCTACAGGTCCTCAAGGCCAGTTTGCTGAAGTCTATTGAAAGGCAACTGCTGGAGGGAGGGCCGGAGGGAGAAAAATTGAGAAAGAAAATGTTTTGAAAATGATGATGGCAACAAATATACAAATGTGCTTGACACAGTGGATGTATGGATTGTGAGAAGAGCTGTATGAGCCCCCAATAAAGTGATTTTCTTTAAAAAAAAATAAGGAAAGGCAACTACCTAGCTGTATCTCCAATTACGAAGCTCACTGATCTAGTCAATTTTGACTCACAGTGACCCTACAGGACAGGGAAGACCTGCCCCTGTAGGTTTCCAAGATAACTCTTATGGGAGTAGAAAGCCTCATCGTTCTCCCATGGGGTTCGCGGCCCAATGCATAACCACTACACCACCAGAGCTCCTACACACAGAACGTTCCTTTAACCCGTCTTTCTACCTGGCCCTCACAGACATCAGAGCTTCAAACCCTTGCCTACGGTTTTCACCTCACTATTCTGTCCACATTCCTGACACGCTCAGTCCTGGGAAAGAAGGGAGTGCCTGTGGCCCTGACAAGAAGCCCAAGGTCACAGAGCTGGCAGAGCAATTTGAGTCAAAACAACTTCAGAGGCAGGTGGGGAGGCAGCAGGGGGTGGGAAACGAGGAGCTGATACCAAGGGCTCTAACAGAACATGCTGTGGAAATGATGATGGCAGCATATGTACAAATGTGCTTGACACAATGGATGAACGTATGGATTGTGATGGGAGACGTAAGAGCCCCCAATAAAAGTACTTATTTTAAAAAAGCAATTAAAAAACCTTGAGCGCGAAGTCTTCACAATCTCTGAAATGGAGCCCATAGGCAGTTAAGATTTCTAGCTTTCGCTCAGGCTATTTCCTAAAGGTATAAAAATGGGGTGAGGCTAGAGGAGACCTTTATGAGGAGCTCCGAAATCTGAGAGCTCTTCCAACTTTGACTTTACTCATGCATTGTGCACACAGACTTGACCTGGATTGTCACCAAGGCAATTGAGCATCTCTATCCCATTCCAGGCAGCGAGGCTTTAAACCATTCATGGAAAAGTGGAACGCAGACGGTAGAAATTTCCCATGAACTTTTTGCATTCCCTCCGTATGTTCACCGCAGAAATGCTTGCAAACACAAAGCCAGCCCATTCCCTACTTGAGGAGGGAGGGCGGGTGAGTGATGAACTATGGACCCTCTAACTTTCTAAAAACGGGAACAATTCCGATTTCCAATACCATCCCGGCCCCAGGGGAGCCAGACAGAGACTCGGGATCCGCACTTTAGTTAAAATTAGAAAACATCAGCACGACGCCTCCATGCTTATCCCTCAGAGTCGCAGTCCCTACAGAGCTCCGTGCATCCTTTAAGACGCTGCGCAGCCCTGCCCAACGACCAGTCAACCCATCCTCTTCCCTCAGCCCGCTTTCTCGAAGACAAAGTAAAAGCGCTCTCCTCGGAGGCCCCGTCTGTCAATCAGTCATGATTTCAAGAGGGGTCGGGCCCACTATCGGGTCCTAGACAGGCGTCCGAGACGCCAAGACACCTGCCCCGAAGACGACGCGACGCGCCTCCTTCGGAGCCAGTCGCCCCCTGAGCCCCGCAGAAGGTCCGGGCCGCCAGCCCTCCACAGAATCCGCCGTCCCTTCAGCTCCAGGGTCTACGCACCTTGGGACTGCGGGCTGTCCGCTTCACAGACGCGACGCCAGCCCGGAGCGACGCGGAGAGCCAGCTCCTCGCACGCGCGGCTCCTCGCAGCCACTTCCGGTGCCGCGAGACGCTTCTCTGGAGCCGCGGCTCAGAAGCCTCCGCGCCCGCGCCGGGACTCGATTTCCCAGGAGCCTCCGCGGGCGCCTTCGTTTCGATTCCCTCGTTCGGAATTTAGATCCCCGGCGGAGCGCCAGTGGGCTGGGCGCGGGTGGAGCAGGGCCGACACTGGGTCAGGACTGGGTGGCCTGGCAGTCCGATCTTTACTCGCCGGAGACGTTGAGGTTTTCCCGAACCAGAAGTGGACGACCGTTCGGTTGTCATGGAAACGCGTCCGTCCGCAAAGTCGAGGGGACTAACGTTGCGGAGCTGCGGGCGGAAGGAATCCTGCGGGCGGAGCCGCGGGGACGCACCAGCTCTCCGCGCAGTTTTACAATTGGCTCCACCAAGGCGCATGCGCAGTCGTCCCAGGCGGCTTTCCAAAAGGGCGGAGCGCGGAGGCTTCTGGGAAATGGAGTTCCCGAGCTGTGCAGGCAGCGTCCCGCCGCAGGGCTGGGGAAACGCGCGCAGCGTCACTTGCCCAGCGGGAATTTCTTGAGGGGCAATTGAGATTTGAGTCCCAGGCTCTTTTGAGGGTCCAGGGTCTGGCGACAGACTCCTGGGCAACCCCACCCCTACCCAAGTGCAGACGTGAAAATGAGGAGGCCCGGATGTCTCCCGAGACCGAGGTGCACGCGACAGTAGGAGGCGAGGATCGAAAAAAGAGGATAGTGGTGGCTGGCCTGACCCGTCCTCCCGTGCGTGGCTTTAGAAGCGGACGTGGCTACTGCGGTCAACGGGGGTTTTCTAAGGCTTTGAGAAACGCCCCACCTGGACAACTAGGTCCCTGCTTATTTCTGTGGGACGTGGGGCCGAGTCGCTGTCACCTAGGCCACCCCTCCCGGGATAAAGCTGTGGTCTTAATTCTTAGTCCTTTTGCAAGTCACAGATGCTTGTGAAAACAAATCAAAACCAAACCCCCCAAATCATAGCGACCCAGAACTTTCTAGAAAGGGTGCAATACTCGGACAGCTGTGCAGAAAATGTTGAAGCTGCATGGACTGATCCAGACAAGCCCGGGAATTCGGAGGTGTGGGTCTAAGTTCAGAACTGGGCAGCGTCTGCCGCCAGCAACTCCGCGGAAGAAAGATGAGGCTGTCCATCCGCTCCTGTGAAGACTTACAGCCTCATTAACCCAACGAGTTTCTGTCCAATAGGGTCGCTATGAGTCAGGATCCACCAGTGGATTGGTTTTTATTTCCAATCAGATGCCATTTTTATTTCAAACTTCAATATATTTTTTACTTAAATCTTTTTACTTTGAAATAATTGTAGATCACATGCAGTAAGAAATAAAACATTTACTACTGTGCTTTATTTAACTCCTCAGGATGATAATACTTTTAAATACTATTGTGAAATATCATCAATGGGATATTGATATTCATAAAATCCATAACTATTACTTGGATTTCTTAGTTCTATTCGTACTCTTACGTTTGTGATATCTTAAAAATCATTGTTAGAGTTACCTTATCAATTTTCTTTTTTTTTTTT